AGATATTATAAATATATATATATAATAAATATATATATATTATAAATATATATATATATATATATATATATATTACATATGTATATAAATGTATATACATATAAATTTATACTCAGCACAGCTGTTTATAGCTGATTGTCCGTCGTTTTTCATTGACTGTGAGTGTTTGTCACCTTCAAATGCTTTCAGTGAAACCGAGCATTTGTCACATGGAATTGGGAATACCATTTGGTGTATCTTATCGTCCCGATTGTAACGGTTAATTCTATTTGTTATGATTTTCTATTGCAACCTATCATTTATGCGCTCTTCTCGCACGCCGTCTGTCGTATGCTCTGATTGTGGCATACATAAACTTATGATGTTCCACAATGTGGCCTTGTTATTCAGTGGATAGCTGCCAATCAGCTGCCTTGTGGTAACTGTCGTTTCCACTCCTGCATGCACCCGAGCAAAACGCGCGCGGATCATCACTGGGACAAATTATTACTAGTGGCAGTGTTGTCATGGAAACGTATGCTATCTTGCTAGTTCGAATTGACTGTGCTGCTAGCATCCTCAGAGCCTGTGTTTCCAAACGATACGTCAGAACAATTCCACATTCGTATAGTGTACCGGCATGCCACATATCCATTCAGTTGTGATTGTGGTGCTAAACGTAAGTGCACTTCCCTGTGTTCCAACTTGTGTAGGTGTGCATTGTTGGCGGTGGTAATGCGGCGCATGCACTTGCGGCCATGTTGCCTTCCAAAGGGTTTGAGACATACTGGTACTGTGGATTCAAAGACGAGGCAGAGAAGATCAAGAAGGGCGTCAAGGACAACGGGTATATTAAAGCCACCTTCCACGACAAAAACAACGATACGACGGAAATGAAGGGCAACCCCAAGATGGTGTGTGTGTTCTTGTATATATATATAAATATATAAATCTATGTGTGTGTGTTTGTATGTGATGATGTGTGTGTTCTTATGTATATACATAAATATAATATATATATACATATATATATATATATATATATATATATATAATTTTACCGTGCACGCACCCAAGCACACGTGTCTTATGGCATGGCTAGTACAGCTAATATGTGCGTCGTTGCGTGCATAGGTTTGCGTACACCTCGTTTCTAAGCAGTATTGTGCTGATACTGCGGTTCAATTAGTTCAGCGGAGGACAGTGGTACGTATTGCATTCATGTGTCGGTTGACTGGATAGTATTATTGGGTAATCGCAATGGGGCGAGATCATATAGGATGTGTGTTCATGAATTAGTCCAATACATGCAATAGATGAACGTATCTGGATGTCTCATCTTGCGAGTCATCTTAAGCACTTCTAGGCATATGGATCAGTG